CTCGTGGTGATGATGAAGGAGAAGATGGAAGAAGAGATAGGCGTAGAGATAGGGGTGCGAAGGATGAGTACTTGGAGGTTGCGAATGAGCCTGAGTTGTATCAGGTATACAAAGGTAGAGTAACTAGGGTTATGGACAATGGTTGTTTTGTTCAGTTCGATAGATTTAGAGGCAAAGAAGGTCTAGTTCATGTTTCTCAGATGGCTACTAGAAGAGTTGAAAAGGCTAAAGATTTTGTGAAGCGTGATATGGAGGTTTACGTCAAAGTAATATCGATTTCGAATGATAAATATAGTCTTTCGATGAGAGATGTTGATCAGAATACAGGCAAAGATTTGATTCCTTTGAAAAAGCCTACTGAGGATGATTCATCCAGGAGTAATCCATCGTATAGAACTAAGGATGGACAAGTTACCAAGACTGGGATTTCGGGAATCCGGATCGTGGAGGAGAACGAAGTTGCGCCTTCACGTAGGCCACTGAAGAAGATGAGCTCTCCGGAGAGATGGGAAGCGAAGCAGTTGATTGCCTCTGGTGTTTTGAGTGTGAGTGAGTTTCCAATGTATGATGAAGATGGAGACGGGATGCTTTATCAAGAGGAAGGTGCTGAAGAAGAACTTGAGATTGAGATGAACGAAGACGAACCTGCTTTCTTACAAGGGCAAACCAGGTACTCTGTTGATATGTCTCCGGTTAAGATCTTCAAAAATCCGGAAGGTTCTTTGAGTCGTGCCGCTGCACTTCAGTCTGCCCTTACAAAGGAGAGGAGAGAGATGAGGGAACAGCAGCAAAGAACAATGCTTGACTCAATCCCCAAGGATCTGAATCGTCCTTGGGAAGATCCTATGCCTGAAACTGGTGAAAGGCATCTTGCTCAGGAGCTTAGGGGTGTTGGGTTATCAGCTTATGACATGCCTGACTGGAAGAAGGATGCTTTCGGGAAAACTCCAACTTTTGGACAAAGGTCAAAGCTTTCTATCCAGGAGCAAAGGGAGAGCCTTCCTATATACAAGTTGAAAAAGGAGCTGATACAGGCTGTGCATGATAATCAAGTTTTGGTGGTCATTGGTGAGACTGGGTCCGGAAAGACAACACAGGTGACTCAGTATCTTGCCGAAGCAGGTTACACAACAAAAGGAAAGATTGGTTGTACTCAGCCTCGTAGAGTTGCTGCAATGTCTGTTGCAAAGAGAGTAGCTGAGGAGTTTGGTTGTCGTTTGGGAGAGGAGGTAGGGTATGCGATTCGGTTTGAGGATTGCACTGGACCTGATACGGTGATCAAGTATATGACTGATGGTATGCTTCTTAGGGAGATTCTGATAGATGAAAGCCTCTCGCAGTACTCTGTTATCATGCTTGATGAAGCTCACGAGCGGACAATTCACACTGATGTGCTGTTTGGTCTACTAAAGAAGTTGTTGAAACGTAGGCTTGACCTTCGTCTGATAGTCACGTCTGCCACATTGGATGCAGAGAAATTCTCTGGGTATTTCTTCAACTGCAACATTTTTACCATTCCTGGAAGAACCTTCCCTGTTGAGATACTGTATACCAAACAGCCAGAAACCGATTACTTGGATGCAGCTCTGATCACAGTCCTTCAGATTCACTTGACTGAACCTGAGGGTGACATTCTCCTCTTCTTGACGGGACAGGAAGAAATCGATTCTGCTTGCCAGTCCCTGTACGAGAGAATGAAAGGTCTAAATAAAAACGTTCCCGAACTCATCATTCTTCCAGTTTACAGTGCCCTTCCTAGTGAAATGCAGTCTAGAATATTTGATCCTCCCCCTCCTGGTAAACGGAAAGTGGTTGTAGCTACAAATATTGCTGAAGCTTCTTTGACAATAGATGGGATTTACTATGTTGTTGATCCCGGGTTTGCAAAGCAGAACGTGTATAATCCAAAGCAAGGGCTAGAATCGCTAGTTATTACTCCAATTTCACAGGCATCTGCAAAGCAAAGGGCTGGACGTGCTGGACGTACTGGTCCTGGTAAATGTTACCGTCTCTACACGGAGAGCGCATACCGCAATGAGATGCCTCCTACATCAATCCCTGAAATCCAGAGAATCAACCTTGGAATGACAACCCTGACCATGAAAGCAATGGGAATTAACGACCTGTTATCGTTTGACTTCATGGATCCACCCCAACCACAAGCATTGATATCTGCAATGGAACAGTTGTACAGCCTGGGAGCTTTGGATGAGGAAGGATTGTTGACGAAGCTAGGTAGAAAAATGGCGGAGTTTCCTCTTGAACCACCACTCTCTAAAATGTTACTAGCGAGTGTGGATCTTGGGTGCAGCGACGAGATATTGACAATGATTGCCATGATCCAGACGGGTAACATATTCTATAGACCAAGAGAGAAGCAAGCTCAAGCAGACCAAAAAAGGGCAAAGTTTTTCCAGCCTGAAGGTGACCACTTGACATTGCTAGCCGTATATGAAGCGTGGAAGGCGAAGAACTTCGCAGGTCCATGGTGTTTCGAAAACTTCATACAGTCACGGTCGTTACGACGTGCTCAGGATGTGAGGAAACAACTTCTCAGCATTATGGACAAGTAAGTATCTAAACTAAAAACCAGTATTAACGCTTGTGAATATGTAACAAGTCCGGTCCCTTAACGTTGTGCTTTGTATTTTTACAGATATAAACTAGATGTTGTCAGTGCGGGAAAGAATTTCACGAAGATAAGGAAAGCAATCACAGCAGGATTCTTCTTCCATGGAGCAAGAAAAGATCCGCAAGAAGGTTACAGGACGCTAGTGGAGAATCAACCGGTTTACATACATCCGAGCAGTGCGCTGTTCCAGAGACAACCAGATTGGGTTATATATCATGATCTTGTGATGACGACAAAAGAGTACATGAGGGAAGTGACTGTGATAGACCCAAAGTGGCTTGTTGAGTTAGCTCCAAGGTTCTTCAAAGTCGCTGATCCAACCAAAATGAGTAAGCGTAAGCGCCAAGAACGGATTGAGCCTTTGTATGACCGTTACCACGAGCCTAACTCATGGCGTCTCAGCAAAAGACGTGCTTGAGATGCTTTTCCGTTTTGGTACATCTATTCTTCTTCCCTTCCTTCCGTTTATTATGCCATATTCAGATCTACTCTTTCTGCACTTTCTCATGTATTCAAATCGAAGAAACTAACAGAATTGATGGATGAGCCATAGATTACACAGCTGCATCATCGTTTTTCTTGAAATGTATGAATATTTGATGACTATTCACTTATCCTTGTTGTGCTACTCTATGTTTTATTATGAGCCTTGGGCCTAGGCGCTAGCCTGGGGTAGCCTTTTGTATATGAGGCGCACCTACACAGCAAATCGGAAAGTTAGTTATCTTACTTGATGTCTTGATCCCTAAATCATGTTAATATCAAATGTGACTCTAAAATCATGTTAAAAACCAACAAAAGCCAATCCAATAAAACTGAAATCTAAAACAGAGAAATGAAAACAAATAAAAAGCCACTCCTGTCAAAAGTTTAAAACTCTAAACCAAAGTCTACAACTCTAAAAAATCCATCC